TTTGTTTACAGGAAAGTATTCGAAATCTATTGACGGATTAGAATTTTAGTTATCAAAGGCCAGGATTAATATACATTAACACGGAACAATATTTACATGCTCATTGGTGTCTCTCAAAACTGCGACTAGTAGTATTGGCTTCAGCGATCTTATCAATTAATTAAGTAAGGCATTGTTACGTAATGTCGCATAAAATGTCACGCATTTAATTTCGTGTTAGAACGAAACAGCAAGCTATACCTCATTTGAAGCAGCAGTAAATAAGCTTTCCTGAAATGCACGTTTCCCCCAAGGAAAAGGAAACAACCTCATTGAATGCTTTTAAACTAATATTAATTAGCATACAATATCATCAAAATTTGAACTGCGAATTAAGTGATACCCAAATGATATAAAGTAATGAGGCAAAAATTAACCAAAAAGGTTCCTTGTTATATGGGCAACATCTCCATAAAAATTGGTTGAAAAATAACGAATCTGAGATATGTTACACATATTTAGTGAACACTGATTGAAGTGAATTAAATGGAATTTTTTTCTTTCATAATGAAGTTTGAGTGGTGTGTATTTACCTTCAAGAAAATGCTCTTAACAAAAATGGTGTGGGGCACCCTCCCCTCACCCCTGCCACCTCTAGGCAGGCCCCGCAGCTAAATGATAAAAGGCATTCATCACAACGTTCAAAGCATAAGCAATAACAAAATAGAACATTTTCTTCCCCCTGTTCTGTTTTCCTATGTACATGTATAACACAACATAAAACTACAGATGGTTACAGAGCAACCAGGAAATCAAAGTTCAAGGATTGGGAAGGTGATACTCTGCACTATGAAAGACTGCAAAGCAGTTCCTCTGCTTAGCAACATGCATATACTTTCCCTCACACTGCGGTGCACTGCAATAGGTTTGCACCTCTACCTCACCCCTACCTTCCTTGTAGCAGACCACACAGTTTCTCTTATGCTCACCCTGAACTGGAATGTGTTCTGTCACAAATTGGCTGGTTTGGGTAGCTGGCCCTCGGGGTCTGCCTGCAGTGGACACAGGAGGGTTGTCATAATGGGGAAAACCACAAATTCCACGAAAACGCACAAATTTGTCCACATTCAGTTTTTAATTCATATCTCAACAAATATTTACAGGAATAACACCTACAATATGCCATTTTAAAGTGTATAGAATGGGCTTCTCAGGAAAAAAAAAATTCATTATTGAAACCCAGGACTTTCTTAAAAAGTAAAAGTTAAAACACAAAATAAGTAAGACATAGTGTAAAACTTGAGGTCAAAAGTCACTTTTCCTCACAGGTATAGGTTACTCAAGATTAATTGACAACAGAAGTTAATTATTGACATGTCAGCAACATTTCCTGAAAATCTGAAAGAAAAAGAAAAAATAATGAATTTTTTATGAATTTTTATGTGCACCCATGTCATTCCAAAAAAATTAGCAAAAATTTGTCCACATTCAGTTTTCAATTCATATCTCAACAAATATTTACAGGAATAACACCTATAATATGTCATTTTAAAGTGTATAAAATGGGCTTCTCAGGAAAAAACAAATTCATCATTGAAACCCAGGACTTTCCTAAAAAGTAAAATTTAAAACATAAAATAAGTAAGACAGCGTAAAACTTGAGGTCAAAGTCACTTTCCCTCACAGGTATAGGTTACTCAAGATTAATTGATAGCAGAAGTTAATTATTAAATCACCAACATGAAAAAGAATAAATCATGAATCTTTTATGAATTTTTATGTGCACCCATGTCATTCCAAAAAATTAGTAGGAAAAAAAAATGTGTTGGGAAATTCGACTTTATAACAGGAGGATGGGTAGGCCCTGATGTGCTACTGGGCGCATGAATTTGCCTTTTAACATCCCTACTAACTAATGAGAGTCCTCCCTGAGAAAACTAGGACCAAAACACAACTATTCCCACTGACAAAGATAAAAGCAACGAGGTAAAAAAAGTTAATTTTTTTGTTGATATTTTTTAATTTTTAATTTTTTTTGTTTATATTTTTGAGAAACACAACATCTGAAAACATTGGAATAAACAACAGCAAAATTTACCTGTGGTAATTCTTAGAATGAAACACTGCAAAACAATCCCAACCCTTACTGACATGCATATACTTTTGACATTGAGGGGCATTGCAATAAGATCGAACCCTAAAATCTCCCTTACCCTCTTTATAACATACCACACAGCGTCTCTGAGTGTCAGAGAAAACTGGGATATGGACAGTTGTAAAATCCCCTAGGGTGGAAGGGGGTGATTTCACTGTGGTATTCTCTGGGGGACTACCATAATCGGGGAAACCACAGAGTTGCCTAGCAATTTCTTCCCGGAAATCACCCAAAGAATAATGGGAGGGCCTTTTCAGAGCTTCATCGTCAGGAAACTGAGTCTGATGCTCTTTGAAAAGGATAAAGCCATTGACTACAGCCATGTCAATTAGGTGGAAAACCATAGTTTTCCACCACTTCATGGTCTTACGTAGTACGTTATTTGTGGCTAGAATTTGATCAGAGCGGTCTACCCCATTCATATATTTATTGTAATTAGCAATAACTTTAGGTTGTTGTACTTCCCTTACGGCCCACACATTGACTTCCTTTCTTTTCCTGTCGACAAAACCATGATCATTAGCTCTCTCTATCGTTGATAACAAGGATACTACTTTGCTATCCACCCACTGAAGAACCAAACAAGGAGGGTCCCTTACCCAACGCATAGCACCCCTATTATTTTTAGGAGGAACCCATGGTACATCCTTTTTTAAAGCATCTGGAAAGCCTCTTCTCTTCTCAGAGATGGTACCAGTGGCAGGGACCCCCTGAGCAAACAAATCTTTGAACAATGGGAGTGATGTATAAAAGTTATCCACATATAAATGGTAACCCTGATGAAGAAAAGGCCTCATAAGTCTCATCACTACATCATAACCCAACCCAAATTCACTAATTCTCTGCCCTGCGGCTTTGCCAATGTAGACATTGAAGTCTACAGTGTAACCATTTGAACTGTCAGCTAAAACCCACAATTTGATACCCCATCTGGTGGGCTTGTCTTTGATATACTGACGTATACCAGACCTGTGGCGAGACTTAACCATGCGTTCATCAATGGCCAAATTTTGTCGGGGCTGGTACAAGGCAAGACACCTAGATTTAAAATCATTTATAAATGACTCAACTTTACGTAACTTATGGCTTTTATCTTCATTAGCAGGATTTACCACATGCAACATGGCCATTAGGGCTTTGAATCTGGTTCTGGACATGATTGCTCTTGCCCAGAGACCATGATATAGGGTCTTTACGCTCCAATACTTATCAAGATCACCAATCTTGACAAGCCCCATATAAATGAGAAGAGCGATCAGCCGCTTGATTTCATCGGCTGTGGTATCTTGCCAACTACCATCAGGGCTTGTATAACTCTGATGGGACCCAGAATATATATGTTCCCAAGCATAGGTATTAGTATGGGTAACTATATTAGTAATCATTTCATTAGTAAAAAAGAGGTTAAAAAACTCTACCGCCTTTATCATGGTGCCCCTGAGTAAAGGCCGCTCAAAATGAATTCCAGCTGGCCTTGAAGGGGTAAAAGGAGGAATGGGATTTGCTACATCAGGATCATTATAGGATTTGCAGGGGATAGGAGCAGGAGGGGTAGGAGAACGAGAACGATTGCAACCACGACCACGTCCCCGTCCCCGTCGCTGACCACGACCACGACCCCTGCGGCCAGCTGGACCACTTGAAAGACCTCGAGTAGCAGGAACACCATGAACTTGAGGAGCAGGAACACCAACAGCAGCACCAGCACCATAGAATCTTCCAGGACCTAAAAAAACATAGCAAATATTATAGTTTTGCTGATAAAATCCATAGATCCTGAAGATAAGTTATAATAAACCAAGTAAAAAAACCAGACATATATTTTATTCCTTTCAAAACATTTACTCACCAATAGGAGCGGCAGAACTCACAGGGGGAATTAGACTGGCAGCAGCAGAAGGAGCAGGGGTCCAGCAACTACACATTCAAACAAAAATATAATTTTCAATGAATAAATCAATTATCCTCAACATTTATAGAATAATATCCAACACAAATTCAAGTTATTCTATGGTATACGCATTCGGAAATTATACTTGTTGTTCTAAATTTCGTAGGTTGGAAATATTTCACTCACCAGGAGCCATGGGTTCCTTAGTGGAAGCGCTAGCCTCCTCCGGCCGCTCGTCATCTTCAACTTCTCCCTCGCTAAAAATATAAAATGTACACTGCTTATATTCCGTAAAATACTCAAAATTAACCGAATGAACAAGCGATACTGAACTAAATCGCCAAATCGCCAACGAATGCCAAGCATCCGTCGCGTTCGAAAAATGCATTTCTCCATGGTAACAAACAGCAGCTGATCGAATTACGCGTCTAATATTTCGCTTGTGCAAATAGTTTGAATCGCATCGCATCTCATCGCTAAAAACACACTCTTAGCGTAAATTATTGATTTTCAGAGTCGCAAAAACCAATTTGTAATCAAATGTCAAGAAATACGCGAGAAATCAATCACAAAAGGGCAATCTGGGGCGAACAAATTCGCATTTCAAGACAACATGTGCGATGGCGACCATTTCGCAAAGGCCGATATTGACTTCTCACCTCGATCCCCCACTCTCATTTTCCAGCTGCCGGTCTAAATCGCTTTCTTCTCCACTGTCCATACCATCAGCGGAGTCTTCATCTTCAAATATTTTTTCTAAAGCCATTTCTGCGGAGATAAAGCTCAAGCGTGGACGCTTCGACGATGAAGCCATCTTCAACGGTGAAATTTTAGTACTCAAATTAGCGTTGTGTAGTACACATTAAACTGTAGCCCTCCAAACTCGCCACATGATTTGTTCAACCTTTTAACGTCATAAACACCAAATTTGGAAGGAATCGGAAGTAACGCAATATTCGACGAGACCACCGGAAATTATGGGTGGAATTCCACCCATAACCGCAGGGGGCTGCCGGGATAGGGTTTCTCCTCTCTGAAGTCACCCAGTGAATATTCTGAAGTCCCTTTTGACTGTAGGATTATCTGGATTGTTCTTCTATTGATCTCTGAAATGAATAAAACTGTTGACAACACCAATGTCAATAAGGTGAAAAAAGGTGTCTTCCACCACCTCGTACATTTGCGTTGCACATTGTGGGTGGCCAGTATCTGGTCAGATCGGTCCACAGCATTCATATACTGATTGTACATTGCAAAGACCTGAGGCTGAGTTACCTCTACTGAGTTCCACACACCATCAGCAGTTTTTACTCTATGCTTTACCTGACCAGGGTTATTAGCATTACCAGTGGTGCTGATCATAGATACTACTTTACTGTCCACCCACTGCAAGATCAAGCAGGGTGGATCCCTCTGCCACCGCATAGTACCCCTGGCTTTGTTCTTTCCCCATTCACTTCCTTTCTTGAAATTTTCTGGCATGTCTTTCCTGGTTTGCAAAATGGTACCTGTAGCAATGACTCCATGCTGAAATAAATGCTTAATGAGATGAACTGAAGTATATAAATTGTCAATAAACAAGTGATAACCTTGATTATAGTAGGGACTAGTAAGTCTTACCACAACATCATGCCCAAGCCTGAATTTACTGATCTCTCTTGCAGCATCTTTTCCAATGTAAATATTGAAATCTACTGTATAATCATTAGAACTATCAGCGACTACCCACAGTTTTATTCCCCACTTAATTGGTTTGTCCTTCGTGTACTGCCGGATGCCAGACCTGTGACGCGACCTGACCATACGCTCATCAACGGCCACCTGTTTTCTGGAATGATACAAAGCGACACATCTAGATTTAAAATAGTTAACAAAGGACTCTACTTTACGTAACTTGTCTCCGGGGGTGTCAGTTGCAGGATCTACAACATGCAAGAAGGCCATGAGCCCTTGAAATCGTATTCTGGGCATGATGGATCTTGCCCAAAGACCATGGTAGAGGGTCTTGGTACTCCAATACCTGTTTACAGTGATACCTATTTTCACTAAACCAAAATAGATCAGAAGGGCTATCAACCGTTATATCTCCTCCGGTGTTGTGTCTTTCCATAATATATCGGCTTGAGCTTAAAAGATGAGTATGAAGAACATGTGGCAGATGCACATTCCTAAGGTATGATTCGCTCTAAAAATACTGTAAAAAAATTAACTCAAACTTCAAATCTTGCGCACAATAATTATCAATTTACTTTTGATTTTTTCTTTTAGAAATGTTAGCCAATTTCAAGGAAGTAGATTAAACAAAGCAAACTGTGATAAATTATGTTTATACAAATTGTATTTCAACCTTGAAGTGCATTCAAAACAACAAACTTGATGTCCTGTGTCGCCATGAATGAAGCTGGCATTGTGTGGTCTGGTAACACAGACCACGCACAGGTCAGTGGGAACACTGGCACTTTCTCCTTCTCCTTTCCTTCTTATTCCTCCTCCTCCTCTTCATCTTCCTCGTAATCTTGGTCCTCCTCCACATCATCTTCTCCAACAAATTCCCACTACTCCCATTCTTCTCCCCACTCCTCTTTGCCCCAGTATTCAATCCCTCCCTCTTCCTCCTCGTTCACTTCCTCTCCTCTCTCCTCATTATCCTGGCCACTGGGCAACACTTCGGTAGATGTAATTGCCTTGATCCTGAACTTTAGTATTAAATATAGTTTATTTACAATGATAAGTGGTTGCTAACTCACCATCTAAAAAGAATAGATGATCTTCTGAATCTGAAATGATCTCGGTTTCAGCGGAGTGATAACTGCTGTTATAATCGCTCTGACCCTCAGGGTCTTCTTCTCTGGTGATAGGGCCGCCAATAAACCCCATCCCCATGTTAATTTTCGTTCTTCTTCTAATTGAAATAATTAAAAACAAAAAGTAGAATGTTAAATGGAATACTAAAATTTCTTCTATTTTTTAAACTGTTCAAACTCCACTTTGCAAAGTAATATATTTTTAGTTACCTGTTGAATCCCTTTCTCTCTTAACTCCTGTGAATTCAGAAATAATATGATAAATTAATAAATCTTATCAATTACCTTGTCAAATTTTCAACATTTTTATCAAATTATGCCATTTACTTAGGGTTTAGAGTAGTAGTTTACCTTGATTCAGTCCACTTAGTCCAGAACTTCCTGGAACAGGAAATATCTCACTAGTAAAATAAAATAAAATTCAATGATGACTTTGGTTTACAGACTCGATTTATCCTTTCAAACTCCTTGCTTTTCTGCTACTTTTCTCCAAAACCGAATACTGCTTATCATGAGTCAAGAATATGAGATGCTCTGATAAAAAGTAGTCAAACAGGGACATCAAAATCTAGACTAAATACTTTTTGCTATTGTGTATGATCCGTCAAGTTGGAAATGTCAGCTATTTTATCGAGAGTGAATGTAGCTCATTTCAATCAACCACCGGCGGATTTACTAGCTTCTACTGTGAGCTATGATGTGCTGTTTGACTAAGAAATACTTTTGTGTTTACAAACGCAAATAGGTCGCAGGCAGAAGTACTTAATGCGGGTGCATTTACTTCTCACTTACCAAGCCTCGTGCTTCCTCCATGATTGATGAACTGTTACCAGTATCAGTGTCAAATTACCAGGTTCCAGTGTTATATAATTTTGAGGCAAAAATGAAAAGATTGTTGTCCAGAACATGCTAACAGGTTCAAGGCTTATTAGCAATCTTGGCAAGACGCGAGGCTAGTTCAAAAGGGCGACTGGGTGAAAGATCACTGAGTAAAGCCCTTTTAAGTATGATTATTTCAGTGATACCAACCCTAGGGATGCACACAATCAGCGCGATCTAAAATTGAGGCGTATGGAACTTTCGGTTCAAATCAAAGTGGCTTGAATGCTGATCTTTTTTTGAGGAAAATAATGAATAAAAAAAGGGGTCAGAAAAGAGAAATAAAAGAATATCACTCATTCGAGTTGGTCATTGCTGTTGGTCTATTGGTCTATTGGTCTGTTGGTCTATTGGTTGTTGGTCATTCTTATATTTGGTGGCTCCTAAAGGAGCCTTTTGTTTAAGTGACTACCCAGCGGTAGGTCACTGTTGTCGTGCGCTCCTTGGGCTTTCGCTCGGCTTGCTTGTTCCGCTCACGGTGGAATGAGACCTTAAAAAGAGTAAAAACCGCATTTTTGTTCCATTGAAAGATGGAAATACGGGCTGGTTTTCATCTACTCCGATGCCTGGCACCTGGCTTGTTACCTCTTGAATGAAGACATTCATCCTATTGTGTAAATTACTTGTGAGAACTGCTTGAGCATTACCATGAATGTGAAATGTTTTATGTTCCCTAACGTTGACAACAAACCTGTCATCTTCTTTTGAGGCTCTTCTGAACTCTTTCAATGTCAGGTTTGCTAAGACACCTGCACGGTTAGCATTATCAATTGATATTTGAACGAGAAGGAAATCACGCAGAGGGTATACTGGCTTTGTGTAATTACTACACGGTGAGTACCACTTAGCTTTCCAAGCAAGATGACAGCATTCCTTGACACCTTGCTGTTTTCGAATTCTACAAATTTATCTAGGGTTATCAGCTCATGCCTTTCCTCCTCTTGAGTTTCCCATTTCCATTGTAGGCTTGATCGTTTGTAAGAAGATTACCATTGTCTCACTCTTTCCTTCACCTGGGTCACCAACTCACTACTGACTAGAATTTCGTCTGGCTTCTCAGACAAAAGGAAGCCGTATAAATGACCTAGGCTCGTAAAGTAAGACTTGATGGTTTCGGGCAAATACTTCTATTAAGCATGACTTACAAATTTCTCCTTGATGAGAACAAAACCCAGCAGATTTTCTAAATTTTTCTCAGTGTCAATAATAGGTAGGATTCTATTGATTTGTGCTGCATGCTGTTTCACAGTTTTACTATCTTTCTTTTCACCATCAGGTGATTGCAGCCATTTTGCAAAGTTAACTAATAAAGCAGGCGCACCACTCTCGTCATCTTCCCACATGGATTCTCCATTTTCCACCATTCCTATACTTTCGCCAACCCCCTCCTGTACATCGACTGCACTCACATCATCAGAACTGAGCCTTGCCCTCTTTGGCAACACAGCTTCTTCAGCAACTTCTCCCCTCGGTCTATTTTTGACTACCTGAACTGAATAGGATCTCTTTTCTTTAAGAAAGCTTTCTTCAGCAGGCTTTTATACTCGTTAGATGAAGGATTAACTCCATGCACTTTTTTTATATGTGCCGCCAACCTTTCTACACAAGCTGAGCACCCTGCCAAAGGAAAGATGAATTTTTTGTGATAATTCTTGTAGACTTTTATCGGTTTATCTCCATGGTGTTTTCTCTTCCTATTTCCAGCCTTTGCACTATCTTGACTCTTGAATGTGTACTGTTTCCGCAACTTAAAGTTTGTGACAGCTGCTCGAGACTGAGATAAAGACCAGTGATGAACCTGTTTTAGATGCCTTGAGATATGTACAACTTGCTTTCTACAGTAAGGGACTGGATACTTCTGAGTCATTTTCACCTTCATTACTGAAAACACCTTCAACACATTCATTGCATGACTGAAAACACACACCTTATCCATCTTCGCGTCTTCATCTTCCCTTTTAGGCACATATTCATAGCCTGACCCACAATCTTCATCCACCTCATCCCTCCCTTTACCTCCCTGCACGAGATCTCCTAAATTTTCTTCACCTTGGCTCACTGCAGGCTCTTGCCATGGCTGGTACATCCTTGACAAGCTCTCAGTCCACATTTTCCGAAGTTCAAAGGCCTTCTCAGATAACTGGAAGCAAGACAAAAAACATTAAATGAGCATTGTAAGTGAACAGTCAACAAATCAGAAAGATAGCCAGCAGAAAATATTACAATTTTATCCTTTACTTATTAATTAAATCTCAGACTTTCAAACAAACTCATACCATCGTTATTCTATTATCAACAAACATGCCAAATTATCCATATGGCAAAAACTTTTAAAAAGAAAATCCCTATGAAATACAAGCAATGAAAATACAACATTCAAAACAGTATACTTTCACTTTAAAGAATAACTATTTCCAAAATGGCGTCCAAACAATATTGTACTGTAATGCAAATAATCTGAAATAATTAATAAGAGCTGGATAAGACAAGCATTACTGCGTGCTTAATGGGTCTATATATGTATCAGAGTATTCTAACACAAAATGATGGCGAGGAAAACAGTTTGCGACCTGTTTGTTATAAATTAGATCTAGATCTGATTAGATTTAGATCTTTGTTTTGTTGACATACACAGATGTGTAAAGCCATACTTGCGAACAGATCACCCGAATTATACTGAGAATACTTACCACTTCTGCTTTCTCTTTGTTTCCACGTCTGATTGCCTGCATTTGCAAAGCCTTTAAGTCCTTTAGTCTTGCTATGAACATGTGATAATCCACGATGAGAAATTGTTTGCTTTGCTGAAATGCGAGTTTCGCCCACCACGTGCTCGAACGCTATTTCATATAACAGTTTCAATCTGTCGCCAAGTCACGCAAACTTGCAGTTTCCGATGCTTTTCATTACTGCAAACACGTCTCCATAGATTGTTTGATTGTTTTGTTGGGTCAAAGCGTGCTCTGTAGTTTACGTTTGATTGTTTTATTAATTCTAAGCGCGCTTTGTAGTTTATGTTTGATTGATTTGTTAGTTCTAAAGACACTCTAGTTTACGTGAAAAGATAGAGGGGCCGCAGCCAGGATAAGACATCTTGTAAAATTTAAAAAACGATCTCTGGCTAAAACTTTTAAAAAATACGAGCTTTCGGCTGTTTGCGCTACAGCCTTCAACGGGTAAAATGATAAAAAGGTAAGAAATACTAGGTGTGAAGTACAAAGTAAAAAATTAAAAATGCTGATAACTAAGAATGTTTGTTAAAAAGAATGTTGTATTGTCCGGGCAAAGGACAGGAATTGTTGTCCGCATTGGGAGTTAACTTGGAATGCCACGCTTCTAGTGTTTTTCTTGTTCTAAAACTGCCTTTGTCAATAATAGATGCATTATCAAAGTCTATTGCGTGACTATTGGCCCAGACGTGATTGGAAATTCTTGAGCCTTTTGCCGCGGTTTTCACATTTCTGAGGTGTTCTTTCTTTCTTGTGTTGAAGGCCCTGCCAGTCTCACCAATATAATATATATAGTGTGTAATATAGTGTAAACTCTAGTTTACGTTTGATTGTTTCGTTAAGTCTAAGCGTGCTCCGTAGTTTACGTTTGATTGTTTTGTCAGTTTTAAGCGCGCTTTGTAGTTTACGTTTGATTGTTTTGTCAGTTGTAAGCGCGCTCTATAGTTTACGTTTGATCCTACAGATCCCAAGAGTCCCTTTTTCTTTCTGGTACGTCTTCGTTTGGTCCTACCACCTCCGCCGCTAGCACCAGCCACGACCAAATCCTTGGCAGCAGATCCCAGAGTCTTCAAGACGCTCCTGCTCCTGCTCCTACCGCTCCTTCTTGCTTTGCTTTTTCCAGTGGGCACCCAACTTTCCCATCCTTTGGCGCGCCTTAGGTTTTTCACGTACTGCGGTGTACGTTTGATCTTCTTCATGGTCCTGGTGATGGCATCTTGGAAATTGGCAATTCCTCCCAGCTGGACTTTCTCTTTTTCACGGGTGATGGAGGCGGTGTGACAGAACTTGGTGGAGGTAGCAGCGGCGGTGGTGGTGGTGTGGCTGCATGTTCGACTGGAATGGTCGTCACAGGCGTTCGTTTCACCACAGGTGCAGGTACTTGCTTGGAAGCAGGTTCTTTCTTGACAGGAGGGCGTGGTTCTTTGCTTTGATGAATAAGTCGTTTGAGAAGTTTCTGCTGCACGGGGGTCACCAAATCACCTTCTTCATGGGCTAAAGCTTTTTTCAATTCTTTGGGATCGGCATTGACCAATAAGGAGGTGGGAAGTTGCCTCATTCTCTTAATGTACATTTCCACTTTCGGATCGATCTGTTTGACGGCTGCTGTCTTGAAGGCTGGAGCGGTGCCGGTGTCGTTGAGAATAGACATTTTCGAAGACATCAATTTAGCGGCAGCAGTCAACGTGGGATCTTCTACCAACCATTGTTTGAAAAAATTCACGGCGGCAGGATCTTCCGCGGGGACCATAAACATCTTTTCGTAAGACATTTTTGTTTAGTGGCAACAAGATTTGACCACGGTATTTAACCCATTCCACAATCGTCCACCACCTTTCTGACTGATTAAGGCCATCCGTCTCTTTTTAAGTGATATGGCACGGTTTCCAATGTTCCTCAAGGTTTGTTTGAAAGGTCTCAATCTGGCCATGGTAATGGGTGACACCGGTACATTGTTCTTGAGTAAATTCAAGACGATCTCACTCACGGCATTGATCTGATCTTTGTTGGCGTGTTTGAGAGGACCTTTCCGTATATTCCGTTTGGCGACTCTTGTAATGGCTTGCAGAAACGGTTTCTGTCTACGAATCCTACCCATCTTTTTTAATTGCTGACTCGACTAGAAGTTCTACTCACTTTAGGCGTACCGCCGTCTTTATATGTGGTTGTTATGGTATTGGTATGCGTGACACCTGCAATTTGTCTCCCGCGACTTTTTTCAATATTGTCCTGTTGCTATCGTTGAAGTTCACGCAACAATTCTTGCCGTCTTCTGTTTCGTCAGGTACGACTTGTATTACTGCTCCCACCACTTGTATCGCTCTCTCCTGCACCACTTCCTCCGCTTCCGCCGCCGCCTGCCGCTGGGAGAGGGGCCTGCTGCCGCCTGGTTGCGCCTGCAGGGCTCGCCCGTCCACGTCCACGTCCATGACAACTTCTTCGGGATGAATTTGAAGATCCAAAGGAGATGTCCAGGGAACTGGGCACACTGGAGGAGCAATCTGGTACGACAAGTCTTCCTCTTCCTCCGGGTCGTCCCGCCGTACGTCGAGTTCTGGCCATGTAGGCCATAGGATTGATGCCTTGCGCGCGGACTTGCTCTCCGGCCAGATTCAAGAGTGACATGGGGCGTCGTCCTCGTCTGGGTGTGGGTGAAGGTGTGGGCAGAGGTGAGGGCGAAGGTGTGCGTGCCGGCGGAGGTGAGAGTGAAAACTGGGTCTCAAAGGACATGTCCGATCCTGAACTGAACCCAGGCGGTCCATACAAAATGTCGTAGGGATTAAATCCAGATGCGGAAGCGGCTTGAGCTACCAGATCTAATTCGGTATCGCTCATATTCCTCAATTCGGAGGGTGATTGTATGGTTGGATTACTACTCATGTTTTCTTCTTGCAATACATGGTGGTGTAGCCTTCGTCGTTCAATATATTGGTCTTTAACCTTTGACTGTCTGAGGAGCTGGGGTGTAAATCAAACATTAAATACCCATACGGTCTTTCTGTGGCATCTCTGTATATTTCCAAGACTTGTTTGAACTCTTGCGGGAAGGCTTGCTGGGCTAGAATACGTATGGCCAGTTGATCTCTGGGGTTCTTGAAGGCTATAATGTAATGGGCGTTTCTGGAGATGGTTTTGGCGTGTCGTCCTTTGGAAAACATGTCCTGGGTCATGTACACCACCGTGATGCCTTTATGATGCGAATCCCTGGTGAAGAGATGTAACACGCGTTTGTCATTGCTTCCTTCTTTCATCAGATCATCGAGAACCAGGATTCCACCTTTGGTTTTCTTGAACCATTTATCCAATAAGGAAGTGTCTGGGATTCCCTAGTAAAAATGAATCCCTTGTTGCTTGCGCATCCGGGTAAAGGTGGTGGGTTGATCGGCTCCATAGCAATAGACGACAGGGTTTTAAGGTGGATCAAACAAGCATTTGCGTTCTTTCAGCATCCGTTCGACAAAGACTGTTTTACCGCAACTGGAAGGTCCTACCACCATGATACTACATGGTGTTTTAAATTTAAACATGTTACAGAGAGCCATGGTGTGGATATAGGACAAAAGTGATTTTTATTTATATATCCAACTCACAACATTTCTTATTACATTAAGTACAGGTTTTAAGATTCGTGACTCTTGGTTTCAATAGCGGTTTGACCATTTCTCCTACTAAATGATCGTTATGTACATAATCTCCTTTTTTGAATAGACCGATGAAATCATCCATGCTTTGACCTCTGGCTTTCATTTTCAAATACATCAAGGCGTATTGCCCGCACGACTGGGAGTTCATCTCTTGCAAGGTGATGGCGTTGCCGGTGATCTGATGAAAGTGTTCGCATACCCATTCGTACACGTCCGAGGGTCTGTACCATTTCAAGGGGAGCCCGTAACTGTCCATGATTTCACATCTGTGTTTTTGGGTGAAGATAGCTAGCCAATGGGCACCTGGTTTATCGATAGGATCCGTGTTGACAATGTAGGCTCTCTTTTTCCAGAGTTCAGGGACGCCTGGTAATTCGTCAGAAGCAAAGACGCCGGCGAACATAGGTGCCAGACACGGATCTTGTTTGGCGAGATACGATAACTGCTGTGTGGTAAAGGGTACAAACTCCATTTTTTCACAATCTGCCTGCCACTGTTTGACCGTAAATGTCGTACTGGGTGCTGCCAGTGGGATTTATCTTGATGGTGTTCTCAAACTCTCCGTAGACAATGATGGTCAGCAAGGAGTTGACGGCTGTTTTTCTGAAGGAGATGTTGACGCCGCCTCCTTGTCTGGGTTTCAATTAAACACTGTCGGCGCATCCAGAAGCCACGTTGTCCCACATGAAGAGCGTGGTATTTCTGTTATGTTCCCAATGTTCTGGTTTGATCTCCCTTTAAACTTGCAACAATTCCCCATGAGAAGTCTGTTGTACCCTTCCATGTCTTTATCTGCATCGTTACTGTTCAATTCCAAGGTGGTGTACAGGTATTCTTCTCCTTCAATGACCTGCTTGATACTGGTGATGTGATTTTTTTGAAAACTGAAGGGGTTAAACTCGTAATGTCCTCCAAATGCAGACTGATAGACCAGTCCTACCACGACACGATGTGGGACTCTTCTGGTGAACACATCCGTGGCCTGAAATTCCGTATCATTCTTTTGAACGGTGAAGGTCCTCACCTCAGATCGTACGGTGGGAATAAAGACATTTTTGTTTTCTTTCAATCTTTTCCTAGCAATTTCGTTGTAGATATCCGACCTGACTTTGACCATGCAGGCAAAGAATTTCATGTTGAAAGATTTCAAGACAGGCTTTGCAGAACTTGAAGTCAATCTCATCAGAAAGAACTTGGGGTCGTTGAGGGTAAATCTCGTCTTCAGATCCACTCCGGGGATAAGCATTCTACCTGAATTCAGCAAATCACAATGAGGCATGCCAAACAATTGAAGGACTTTTCCATCGACGGTTCTAGCTTGCATGAGTTTCATATTGTCCATGGCTTTTCGACATTCCTTGGGCATGGCTTTGTAATCTGCATGAGTGCCAGTCCATTCATTGTCTGACAGTGTGCTGGGGGGATGATCTACAGCCGAGTAATACCCTTGAGCCTGTAAAAATGTTTCCTCATCTTCAGTGCCGTAATTGAGAATGGTTTCAATGTAGGCCTTGTAAGCGTAGGTATCTGTTTGCTCGGTGGTGAGGGTGCCGTTGACGTAGATGGACGGTTGCTTGAAGATGGTATGGAACGCGTTATTGGCCATCCACACATTATCCCCTTTTGCTACATTGGCATTGTCTGCACTGTCCTTGAGAGAGAGTTCAATGTGGAAATAACTGCGGGTGAAATCGATGAATTCCCGGCTGCCAGGCAGAACAAATTCCACGGGGGTCGTGCTTTCGATGGTAGGGTTGATTTCCACGATACAGTAGGAATTGTAGGCGACGTTGGTAGGCGGAACAGTGAAAAGATCCAACGCGCTGTCGGACACTTTAGCAGAATGACTGTGGGCAGCCGATGCCTCGCTACCTCCAAAGACGACACTCATGATTGAGTCAGAATGATGTGAAAGGAGTCACACAGAAAGCTTTTTATACTTCCCAAGGTGCAGTGATACGGTGGTAATGACCTCTCGCTCCTATGGCTCCCATTCTTTTATATCTTTTATCTTTTCCCAGAGACACTCCAAAGTCCAGGAGGGCCTTGATTCCACGCCCTGATTGTCCGGTCGAGAAGGCCTTGTACAGAGCGTCTTTCATTCCTCTACCTAGCTGCCGTCGTTGCCGCCGACGCGGTAGACGACGCACCACATGCATGCTACCACCTCTTTGTCCCGCCAGTCTCATCATGTAACCTTGATTCCTAAAAGGATTTGAATATCTCAGCAACGGAATGGGCATCACTTTTGCGCGATTATGATCTGTCTGGCCTGGAAAGTCGTATTTTTATATCCTCCTGGAGCGTTTCTTTTTCCTCTGTCTGCGAGCCAGTAATTTCTTAGCCAGAATCTGACCGATCTCGAGTCCAGGACCCATCGCTGCCATAATAGGTTTTCTCTGTTTGATGGCTTCTTCGGCCAATAGTTTCGCTCCAGCCACCAGCGGAGCGATAGGAACGGTACCACCGCGCTGTCTTCGTCGTCGTCTACCTACCATGATTTCTTTTTTGTTGGCTTAGGGTTAAGGTTATTTATATAGAGGCGTCAATAGCTGAAAATGTCTGTGGGAAGACGCTTCCTGCTTCTTGTTCTTCTGGCCACAATACCTCCTCCACCCTTCTGACCTCTTCGACGGCGTCTGGAAGGTGCTTTCCGGTCCTTTTTCCTGAGATTGACACCTAGCAGATTTCCCAAGGCTTTTCTTTTTCCCACTTTGACCACAGCTTTGGTAGCTATATCTGAGGCGCGTTGGACGCTGGCTTGTATCTTACTAAGAGAATTACGTAGCACGCCGCCCAAACCGTGTCCACCTTGATTATAGGTCAAACCCTCTCCTCTCTGCTGGTAATAGAGTAGACCTCTGCCAATCATGTTGCTCGCCTTTAGAAGAAAAAAATGACACGACACCTACCTATCGCATATTTATATGATTTATTTCTTGGAGTGAACTCGTATTACAATAATGAACTGATGCACGGTAGGAGTGACCTTTTCATACTTAAAACGACTATGTACTTACTTCACAGCGGGATAGATCTCACGGATCCGTGAGGTGATCCAAGCCAGGAGAAGACACGGCGGTATCATCTCATCCGTGTCAATTGGACCACACCTTTGATTCTATCTGGAAAGTCGTGTTCTCTCTTGAAACTTTTAAAGGCATTCCAAGTCGTGTTAAAAAACCATCCGTGTGTCATGATTCCGGTTCCTAGGTTTCTAAAATAATTCCAGTTGTTCTTAAGGTACTTTTTCAGATAGGTGTCCGAGGATGCTTTGGGGTCGCTTGCATAATATTGAGGCATTAAGGTAGACCACAGCATGTGCGTCATCGTCTTCTTGTGTTTTGATTCTATTTCCTGGGCAAATTCTTGGAATTTCTGGGGGTTGATAGGATTTCCACCGCAGAAGCAAGCTCCGCTGTCATCTTCGGAAGACACAAGTTTCAACACATGCAGGAAGGCAGTCATTTCAATCACATCGCTTAGCTTCACAGCAGAACGATATTTGTGGATTTGATCTGTGCTATTGAGTTTGGTCTTGCCCAAGACAGATAAAGGGTCCATTCCAAGAATAAATCCCAGGAAACGTGGCTGCTCTCCTTCTGTCTTTGAAATATTGATAGGACACAGAGTAGTCGTGGTGTTGCATACATAGTCCGTGATATTGAGTACTGACATGATGAAGAAAGAAGAAAAAATTGAATGGCTCATCTCCTTAAATACTCTACTTTTCTACTTCGACTCCTCTTTTCCTAAAATGCACTGTCAAGATGGTGGGTCCTTGGGCAAAATTGGTCTGGGTGCCGTCGGTTTCGCTGATGCCCACCTCTACCTCGTCAAAGACATTCTTTCGGATAGGGAGATACTGAAGGTTGATGGGTTCAAATAAATACTCTCCACCCTGATTGTTCTTGAAGACCACTTCTCTCAACAGATCGGTTTCTGTAGAACCTACAATCTGCGTCTGGGCCAAATCGGTATAGACAAACAAGGTCCTGTTAGGATCGAAGGAAGATTCGTAGATCTGTTGATTCAGCCCGGAAAAGTGCCAGTTGACATACGAGTAGAATCGCACGTACGTTTTTCCATGATGGGTCACAGATTTCCATAGATGGGTATTGGTCCACCTTCTCAAATTGTAATCTCTAAAATGTTCCACTCTCACACTGCCTGCCAAACTAAGTTCCTTCGTTTTTTGTCCTGTAGTGGGATCTGTTTTTTCTAGTTCCTCTATCATGTGGAATTTTTTAGCCATTTCAGGTTTAATGTCCACATAATTCTCTTCGCAAAACCATTGTTTGAGTTCATCGACCAACACGCTAGCCTGAGACATGGGTGGGATCACTTGCATGAGATAATGAGTGTCAAAACTGTCCAGATACTGCACCCCCTCATTATTGGCCACGCGTTTCCATTCAAAGACGGGGAGTTTGCTCTTTCCATCAGCGTGTCTCCACTCTTTGATCTTGTTTCTTATCTCCGTGACAGATTCTCCATTAGGATCAATGACATAATTTTTTTTCCACGCGGAACTTGGGGTAATTGACGATAGATTTGGCGTTGTCGTGTAACTTTTCGCTGAGCATGTTGACAAGACGCGACCATACTTCATAGCCGCTCTGTCCGGTGCCTGTGAACACGATGCTTTCTTCATCGAGGTTCAACTCCGCTTCAGACATGATTTGATCCCAGTAGTAACGTGAATGATCTCCCGCTTTCTTATCTTTGGACCAGATGAAGACCTTGCGAGGATTCCCATCTTTATCGGAATCCACTGTGCCTGTATCAATCAAACGGATGACGGGTATTTCGGCACCATCGTAATTGAGGATTTTAGCAAAGAACATGGATTGCGTGTAGATGGGTTTCCCCTTCACCTCATAAGACTCCACGATGGGAGCCATGTCCGGAATGGAAATACTGGCCAAGGCCACTTCCCAGTTATTTTCCGGCAGGAAGATGGTTTTGGGTAGCTTGACCTTGTAGGAGCCGGGTGTGTTCTCCGGAAAGGTTTTCGTGCTGGCATTGCTGGGTAGTGTCAAGTAAAAAGCCATGATGCACACTGTCTTCTCTGACCAGAACAGCAACTTTATTTATACTCTAGGTGGCTTCGTTGTTCCCCCCTGAAAATCTTGTTTGGGAGCCATCGGTTTCGCTGATACCAAACTCGATGGTATCAAAGGCATTCTTCCTGACGGGGATGAACTGGAGATGGTTGGGTTCGTAAATGATTCCCTCGTTAGAACCGTTCCAGTATTCCACTTTTCTCAAAAGATCTGTGTTTGATTTACCAACCATCTGTGTCTTGACCAGGTCTGTGTACACGTACAGGGGCCGAGGCTGATGCAGGGAATTGTAAAAGAAATTATTGTCAATCTCCTAAAGATACCAATTGACAGCGCAACTGAGTTTCAGGTAATAGGAATCGGACGGTGCACCTTCGGGGTGGAATCCAGACCCCGGCCCACCTGCCACAGCCCATAGATGTTGCACATCACCCATTGGGATCTCTGAAATGTTCCACTGTGACGAGACTCGTGAGTTGGTATCCGCTTCTGTATTTCTTGGGAATCACCAAATTGAACTTGGCTACATCCAGATGAATCAAAAAGGCGTTTTCAAGTTCAGTCGTGTAGTCTCCATTGATGACACCTTCGTTGTTGAATCCAGACCCCGGCCCACCTGCCACAGCCCATAGATGTTGCACATCACCCACAAATTTTGACGTGGTCCATGGGATCTCTGAAATGTTCCACTGTGACGAGACTCGTGAGTTGGTATCCGCTTCTGTATTTCTTGGGAATCACCAAATTGAACTTGGCTACATCCAGATGAATCAAAAAGGCGTTTTCAAGTTCAGTCGTGTAGTCTCCATTGATGACACCTTCGTTGTTGATCTTTAAACGGTACACGCTACCTGCATTTTCCCACTGCAATTCTGGCCATTTGACCTTTACTCTGTAACCATCCCTGTAATCTCTTTTGACCGTGTAGTTCTTGGGTAAGGAAGTATTGAGTTTGTAATAGAGCAAGGCGAGCATTCTGTTCCAGAAATCCACTCCATGTCTTGAAGCCAGTCGGATACTCATCTTTCTTCGGTAATCATCCTTCATCTGAGATCCCCTCAACCAATAGGACACGCTTCCAATTTTATCTCCCCTGGCATTTTGAGCATCCAGATTGAGTTCAATACCGCATAGTAAATCCTTGCTGACCAAATGATCGTAATTGACATCGTCGTAGACAGAGGAAGCTGACAAGGATATGGACGGAAAGGAAACACTTGCCAAGGCTACTTCCCAATCATCTCTAGGCAGAAGAATCTGTTGGGGGAGCCTGGCTTTGAATTTACCGGGATGATTCTCTGGATAGGTCTTGGTGTCTCCATTACTGGGGAGAGTAATGTAGATGTCTTTGTCGGTCAACATTTGCTTAGAGATCGATAATAGACTTGGCGTCTACCCAACTGTCGTATTTGGAAGGCCAACCTTTCCAACTGACCAGCGCCTTGCCGTCTTTTCTCTTTAATACTTTTTCAATTCTGAAGAAGGAAGCTGCCTTTCCCATATCCACTTTTTGTAATTCTTCTTCATAAAACGTGCCTTTTATAAGCGTGTCGTCGTATTCTTTGATCTTGTAGGAAGGTATGGGTGTGTCTAAGATCCTGTCCACGGTGAATATTTCTTCCGTCCAACCGGGTAAATACCCCTTTTTGAAGACGCGTCGGACCTTGCTCAACATGACCTTATCCCCGACCTTGAATTTGGGGGATCGTATCCGGGCGGCGGGCACTCCTAAGAGTTTTTTACTGTACAATTTCTTCCACACTTGACCATCGTTATACATGGTCACATTCTTAGGGGCCATTCCGGTTGCATTGTGCACAGAGGC